TCTCTTCCAAAGCCGGCTCTGGTCCAAGGCACAGCCTCCCCGGGGAATGTGTCATAGAGACAGAGGGTGTGTGGTGTAGGCGGGAAGTTATGGTTAGGAGAGCTGTGTGTGTGTCTGATATTTTTCTAATTAAATCTGAAAGGTGTCAGCTCCCCAGGGCAACTACAGCCTCCGCCAAAGGAAAGGACCCAGACCTTCCTTGAGAAAAACCTTGGGGAGTGGTGCCCTACTCCGAACACCTAAGCAGGGGTTCCATGCGCAGGGCTAAGAGCCAAGGCTAGCACCCCTCATCATCAGGGTCTCAGCGAGGGTCCCTCAAGCTCAGAGCTTCCTGGGTTACTGCAGTGCCTTGAACTAGACCTAGAGATCCCAGGCCTTCTACATTAGTGCTAAGCAATTTGGGGTCTCCATTTCCTCACATCCCCCTTAGCAGGGTGCAGAGGGAGGGGAGAAATAGCATTGTTTAGGAAAACACCTCTCAGGGTGTGGTTTTACTTTTTTTTGTTTTGTTTTTTGTTTGGGTACTGGGGATTGAACTCAGGTCCTTACGCTTGCAAGGCAGGCCACGGAACCACTGAGCTAAATCCCCGGCCCATGGTTTTACTGTTTAAAGAGGACTGTGCTGAGACCTCCACTGCAAGGGAGGAGATGGAAAGGCCCAGACCCCCCTAGTGCTGCAGGGTGGTGATACCACCCCCCCTCCTCACAAGCGCCTTCTAGTCCACCCGAGGAGAACACCCTCGCCCACCCGAGGACAGCGAATCCCTTTGCCTGGGCCCTGTGCCCGTGCACGCTGTTCCCCAAGCAGCCCGGCCTGGGGCCTCTGCCTCCACACAGCCAGGGCTTGGGTCAGGCCTGCGGCCTTGAGCTTGGCTGAAGGTGGCAAGAGCTGCTTCGTACACTTCCATTTCAGCGTGTCAGGACCTGACATTGGGGCACAGGCGTCAGAGAATCACTGGGGGCTATGGCTAACATGTCCAGCAGGGAGCAAGGGTGGCCAAAGAGGGAGGAGGAGGCTGGGCTTCTTCCTAGGAGGGGCTGTGGGCACTGTCGCTCCTCCCCTGGGGGCCTGTGGCCCTGCTCCTTCCCTACCACACTGCAGGGACCCCCTCAACCCCACCCCAGGCTCCATCAGTGGCCCCACCCCCCTCTCCAAGGGCATGAAGGGGAGGCAGGGCCCCGCTCTGCTCAGCCGACACCTTACCTGAGGTGCCGCTGTCCCTGGTGGCCCCGCCGGCCAGGCGCTCCAGGACCCGGTCCAGAAGGTGCTCGGGACGCTCGGGGGCACCCAGGGGGGCCCAGGGGGGCGAAGTCAGGGGCTCACCCGGGGACAGCTCGTCGGAGGAGTAGGAGGATGGGGAGCGC